TATATATATATATATATATATATATGTATATATAAAGAAAATGTGGCTCTAGGAGAAAAAATTAGAAAACAATGTTTCTAGTGTGTGTTGATTGCTGCTGGCTACATTTTGGCAAGACTTTATGACCTTAAGAAAGAACTGGTTGATTTGTAAGAAGAAATAACAAGGAATAGAAATATTTCAGAAAAATGAGGACTTGCAAAACCGGAAAACCTGACAGGTTTTATTATTTAAAAAAATTTTTTTTTCAACGTTTATTTATTTTTGGGACAGAGAGAGACAGAGCATGAACGGGGGAGGGGCAGAGAGAGAGGGAGACACAGAATGTGAAACAGGCTCCAGGCTCTGAGCCATCAGCCCAGAGCCCGACGCAGGGCTTGAACTCACGGACCGTGAGATCGTGACCTGGCTGAAGTCGGACGCTTAACCGACTGCGCCACCCAGGCGCCCCAACCTGACAGGTTTTAGACGCCAAACTCAAAGAGAGAATTTGGGGAAGCCTTGGAAGACCAAGTCCATTAAAATAAACTCATGGAAAGGCCAAATTAAGTGTGGCTTCTACACCTATTGGCAATACCTCTCAGTAAGTTCAGAACTTTGGCGCAAAGATAAAATTAAGGTATTCAATTGGCAAAGAGCCACAGAAAGATCAAAATAAAGGTGTAGCTTTCCCACAGAAAACTATAGTCTCAGGTTTACTCAGAGTACCTGTACTGGCAAGAGAAAAAGACAGGTATGTACAAATTAGTGGGGGCAGAGGGAAGAAGAGAGAGAATGGGGCAAGAAAGCAAAAGCATATAGTATATCTGAGAACTATGTTTTGAAAAGAACTGTGAGTAACAGTATTGGCAAATATATTTTACTGAAATCACAGACAAGAAGCTTACTAAAAAATCTGGGGAGACATTTACAGTCAAAGGAATCAGAAACCCAACTGGACTTGTGGTCTTCCAACATTGTACAAGTAGCACATGAACTAAGAACACTAGTCTGCTCCCAGAAGAGCATATACTCATTGAGTATGTGGCCAAGGACAGTAACATAAGAAGACTCTCCAGAGGGTAGAGTCGAGAGTCAAGGAACATTTTTCAACAGCCTTGTTTTGGGTAGAGGCCTTTCTGGTATTTGCCCAGAAACATAAGAGGTCAATCAGTGCCTGCTTCTGGCTTCCACTTTTCCCTTTCAGAATGGAGTATTTCTTGTGATTGTTCTGGTCCTATTCCTCCACTCTACGTTGTCTGTGGAGGGACAGATTAATCTATTACTGTGAGTTTATGGGTCTGTAGCCCAAGAGGGGCCACATGAAGACCTAATGTAGAGACTACCATGCACTACCCAAACTCTGGACTGTGAGCTCCATGTTTGGACTTCTGCTTTTTTGTTCTTTGTGTTTTTATTGTGGCGGGGGGGGGGGCGGGCGCGGGGCCGGTTAGAAGGGGTGGAAAGAAGGTTTGTGAGTTCTGGAGTGGGAAGAGGAGTGAAACAAAAGAGTAGCCTATAGTAGAACTGATGATCATTCCTTTCCTTCTGGCAAATGGAAAGATTACATGTACTTGTCCCCGTACAGTAAAGTGGACCACAAGAATTCACTCAAGTATTTAATAGCTATTGGGAGATCCCCACCCCCCAGGAGCTAGGGATCTTTCTGGAGCCTCTTTTATAAGAGCACTAATCCTACTCTTAAAAACTCTCATGACTTAAACACCTCAGAATGGCCCTACTTACTAATACCATCACTTTTGGGGGTTAGGGTTTCAATGTATGAATTTTGGGGGACATATTCTGATCACATCACTGTCTATAACGAACAGGACGAAGGAACAGAAAATATCTTGGAGACAGGATATTATGGTATTACCCAAACTTTCCCAAGATGCAAATGCTGCCTAGTAGAAGAATGTAGACACAGAGAAGATGATCTATATGTTCATCATTGAAAAGCAATCCCTAAAGAGGAGAGAGTTGCTTCCTAAAGGAGCAGAGTATGCAGCTCCCAGAGCTGGAGCAAGGAGAGTGTGGGGTTCCTGGGAAGAAGCCAAGACTCCGTCTAGAAGACAGTGGTGTCCCTCCAACCTGGCTTTCTAGTATCCCTGAAGATTATCTGTCAGTGTGTACAGATGAGAAGCCATTTCAATTCAGTAATGCATTCCCAGAGTGCTTTCTAATATCTGCCCCAACTTCCTCCTCCTTCCATGGAAAGAGAGTAGTGCTTTAATGGTATTTCTTTTCTTACTGTTCTTGCAACTTGGTAATAGCCCCCCAGGAAAGAGATCCTGGGATAAATTGGAATTCTTTTTACTAGGAATCACTTCTCTTTCCTTAAATCTGTTGCTCAGTTAGCAGCAGTTCCCAGCCTCCATTAAACAATATCTTAACTCACCAAACACTATTGGTTTTCTGGATTCTCCCCCGTACATACATGGTTTTTAAGGAAGCTAGAGCAAAACAGGTAGCTCTTGGAAACCCAGGAAAAACTTGTCTGGATCAACATTTAAAAGAAGCAATAGTGGTTTCTAAACTGCTGGAAGCTGAACTCCCTATTGCCCTTCAAAAGCTCCACAATCTAAACTCTCACCCACCTCCTTTCTTTACCACCTGGCTTTCCTCTCTGCCTTGTTTCTGTGACAGTAATGGATACATAGGAGACTCTACAGAGTAGAGCTGAAGCCCTCTCTGAAGGAGACAGATGGGTCTTTCCATCTTGTTTCCCTCAGAATTTGGACAAATGTCACCCAATCCCAACCTTTCCACTTGATCTTTTCCTCTTCGCCTCCTGCTGCTTTTTGCCACCTTCCAGTTCTCAAACACTCAGTTTCTTTATCTTCTATATTCTTCAAAAGCAGTCAGTTTCTCGCTATGATTTATTACTTTCGCCAGGGAGAGGCGAATGACTGGCATCCAGGCTCAGGGAGCAACCCTTGATAAAAGCCCTGTGTACAGAGAAGGGAGGACAAAGAAGAGCCTGTGAAAAAGCCTCTTTCCAGACTTGTTCCTCAGAGATTCTCCATTAGATCAAGACATTTCATGTTAGTGTTTTTTAATTGTAGAAGAAGCATATGCATGTTTTTAGAAGGCAAACAGTGAAGAAAGATATACAACCAATCTCTCTCCCTGCATTCATTCCCAACCCTCTCCGTTACTTCTCAGAGATAAACATTTGACAGTATTTTTTTAATGTTTATTTATTTTTGAGAGAGAGAGAGAGAGATGTGGGGAGGGACAGAGAGAGAGGGGGACAGAGGGTCTGAAGCGAGCTCTGTGCTGATCGCCCAGAGCCCCATGTGCGGCTCAAACCCACGAGCCGTGAGATCATGACCTGAGCCCCAGTCAGATGTTTAACCAACTGAGGCATCAAGGCATCCCTTGACAGTATTTTTTAATCTTGCAGAATAGCGTACACATCTGCAAGGGACATATATACATTTTCTTTTTCTTTCCTTTTTTTGCACAAATGTATGACAGGCAGAATTTTGGTTTGCCTTTTCCAATTAACATGTCAGCTCTGCTTTTTCACCATACTAGCACATACAGATCTACCTCAATCATGTGTACTTACTTTGTATTCCATTTGCATAGATGTGAGTGTTTTCAATATGTGGCGTATTTCATGTGACTTATTTTTTATCTTCTCTATCTTATTATTTTTAAGTAATCTCTATACCCAATGTGGGGCTTAAACTCATGACCCTCAGATCAAGAGTAGCATGCTCTACCAATTGAACCAGCCAGGTGCCCCTCATGTGATATATTCTTTTAGGAAAGACCTTCCACAACACTTTTTAAGTTCTCCATTAACGTAAATTTTTTTGAGACTTTGCGATAATGTTATTTATAATTTGAAGAAACCCAAATTTCCTCCTATTAAATTACTTTTCTTCTTTATTCTTGTCCTTTAATCTTATTTGCGATTCACCATTATTATCTTTGGAAATCCAAACCTTTCATCATAGTTCGCAAACTGGTAAACCAAATCGGCACGGCAGGGGAACTGAGGCTCGGGATGAAGCAAAGTGTAAGTAAGTGGCCATTGACCATGAAACTCTAGCACACAGTAAAATCACCTGTAAAATAATTTGAGTCGAGGGAAAAACATAATTTAATTTACCAAAATCCTTAATAGATATAGGTTCTAAGAACCACGGCGGGAAAACTACAACCTTTAATAGACTTACGGTGTTAGATGGTGACGATGATGATGACAACAGTGGTCCCAGCAAAGACTGGCCACATCTAGGTCCTCAGGGTTAAAATAATCATCTTTTGTAAAAAAAAAAAAAAAAAAAAAAAAAAAAAGTATTCTTAGTGTGTGAATCAGTGAATACTTAAAATTTTGTGACAGGTTTAGAAAATTCATGCTAAGAAAAAGAGAAAATAATCCGTAAAAAGGTTACTTGAACCGTCATGGGATTGCCATTTAACAAGCGACATCCTGTGCCTGGGGAAGGGTATGATCTTTCCCTCCTTCGGCTTTAAACTTCCACTGGAAGAACTTTTATAAACATTCAAAAATCTTCAGATAATATCAGGTTAAGATTTTCAAATACACAACATAAATAATAAATCCATAAATTACAGCGCACAGAAAGGTACTCTCTAAGATTGTCAGATTTTTCTAAATTTACGTGTTATTTTTGGCATCTAAAGTTTTGTCTTGTACATGGTGGATACTTAAAATATAGACAAATTTTGATTTGACTTTACTTTCGTGGGCGGGTCTTGGGGCCGGGATCAACACATTGCTAGAACCCAGCAGTCATATTCCAAGCAGGGTCATACCAGTAGTCTGAGTTCTCAGGAAGACTACAGAGAATAATGTTTGAGAACTAGCTCACTCGAAGATGACTAGAAGGAACTTTTCCATTCAGTGTGAAATTCTTTCAAGAGTTTCTTTTCCTGTCTCTTCCATGAAATTTTTTGTGGTTTCTGAAACCCATTCCTGACAGTGGTAATGAAAGTGCTGAGAAAGAAAGTATTACAGTTAAAACAAGACAAAACAAACCCCATAACGATTGGTTTTCCAACATGCTTACCATGAGAATCTCTCATGCATTTTTTTAAAAGCTAAAGTAAATTGGTGTTAAATTACAGATTTCCCAAAGTGTAAAGGTCTTTCAAATATTATTTAGTCTACTCTCAAGAGAAAATTCTTGAATCCTCTCCACACCATTAGGATGTTACTCTATTTCCACTAAACACTGAACTTCTCAGCAATATTTTCTCCAAACGGAGCTGGGTATAAAGGGCTGAACCATCTTCAATAGACTCAGAACTAGAACCACCCGCTGCTCCAGAGATGGCAGGGATAGATATCAGGGTACTAGACTCACCTGCTGGTTCTGGGAGAAAATTCAGACTGGCAGGCAGAACCCAGACTCACAATTACGGTAACCTGTAATAAGTGCAGAGTTGGGGAGTACGGTGGTGGCAACCCCAGGAGGTAGTGTTTGGAGACATAAGCTGATAGGATAATCGGTCAGGAAGCAGCTCAGTCTGTAATGAGGTTCAGGGGCAGGGTTCTCAACCACATACTCTGGTCTATAAAGCCCCTAAACCCAACCATTCACCTGCACCTCTGCCCTCAAAATGTGCCAACTTCCTTTTCACCTTTAATGTCCCATCACTCTGGCTTTCTTTCCAACCACAGAATGCCAAGATACCTTGAACCCCAGAGCCTTGGTCATTTAGATGGACCCTTAAATGTCTTCCCCTTACAAAGGCTTTTTCAGGAGACTCTCTACTACATGATTCCATTTTAATTATTTGCATACCCTTGAGACTTGCCTCCTCTATCTATCTCCTCACTAATATAAGCTCAATGAAAGGAGGGTATCTATTTGTGTTATTCCTTGTGGTACCCAATAATACCAGGCACTTTTATTAAGTTCCTATCATATCATGGGGGCTTATTACACATTTTAGATGAGCGACTGAATGAACAAATGAACAAATAAACTGTTAATAAACAAATTAGACGGATAGGGGACTGGCAAAATGAAAGTTTCCATAACTAAAAAGATATGAAACCAAATCCTTGACTAAATAACAGGAGCTAGGGAGACGAGGAAGGCTGTCACCAGATGCGAAAGTCTTGATAAATGCAGGGAATGAGCACGGGTGGCAGGAGTGAAGTGGGGGAGGAAGTTGTGCTGAATAGCTTGACTCTCAGTGGAGAATAAAGTATTAGAAGATGACAGGAGGGGCGCCTGGGTGGCGCAGTCGGTTAAGTGTCCGACTTCAGCCAGGTCACGATCTCACGGTCCGCGAGTTCAAGCCCCGCGTCAGGCTCTGGGCTGATGGCTCGGAGCCTGGAGCCTGTTTCCGATTCTGTGTCTCCCTCTCTCTCTGCCCCTCCCCCGTTCATGGTCTGTCTCTCTCTGTCCCAAAAATAAAATAAAAAAAAAAAAGTGGAAAAAAAATTAAAAAAAAAAATAGAAGATGACAGGAAAGCCTGGGTTTGGACATTGTAATGGGAGAATGCCAGCCAACCCTCCTCCTTGTTTTGAGAAATGTGGGAGAATAAAATAAACCTCACTCAAGAGGACAGAGCGGGCACATTTTAGTTTGGTTACAGTTAAGGGAGATTTGGGTAAAGCCATCTGCATAAAGGTGTATATAAAAGAATTTGTTCATGGTGATATATGGAAAGCAAGAAGGGGGAGGGCAACATCTTTAGGAGACGTGTGGTGGGAGTGAAGAAGAGTCTAGCAGTAAAAGGGCAGAATCACCTGAAGGACAATGGGAGAGAAAAAAAAATTTTTTTTGAGATGTAGGAATAAAGAGATGATAGTCACAGAAGAAGCGATGTGCCTCAAATACGGACTTTTGCTGCAAGTTTACAGGGAGCCCAGCAGTACCTGGTTTAATCTCAGAGAAATGGTCCCCAACTGTCCTGCATGACAATTTAGACTCTGATCTGAGGGTAGCTTCTTAAGACTCACACAGAGAGAACAGCTTTTCATCAAAATGCTAGGGAATGGTGATTTGGGGCCAGGCACCGGTACTGGGAGGTTGCTAAGAAGGCAAGCTGGACTAAGAAAAGAATAATACATTTCTTTTCCGTGCTCTAACAGTCCACATGGTTCTTTAGCCTACTTACTCTTCCCAGGTGAATAAGGCAAACCTGGTGGACGGGTGCTGACAGTAACCAGTTCACTATGACCTGTCCACCCAGACTCCATAACCAAATACCCTCCTTGTAGTGAGGTGGACCTCAAAGGGCACAGCAATTCTCCTAAGGCAAGAGGGGATCATCGACTCACTGAATACAATCCTTGGTCTAAAACTGAGCATTAATACGCATTCTTAAATCATGTACAACACAGTTATTTGTTGTCTCTTCCCAGCGTTGCGATATAAGAGGCAATCCCTCACATTAAACATTCATTCGGGGCGCCTGGGTGGCTCAGTAGGTTAAGCGTCCAACTTCAGCTCAGGTCATGATCTCACAGTTCATGAGTTCGAGCCCCGCGATGGGCTCTGTGCTGACAGCTCAGAGCCTGGAGCCTGCTTCAGATTCTGTGTCTCCCTCTCTCCCTGACCCTCCCCCCACTCATGCTCTGTCTCTCTCTCTCTCTCTCTCAAAAATAAATAAACATTAAAAAAAAAAATAAAAAAAACATTCATTTAATGGGCACACCTTATATATAAAGGTGTTTTACATATGATACTCAATTTACTTATCTCAACAATCTTGAAAAGTGAGGACTATTCTGCTTTTACAAATGGGGATGCAGAGTCTCAGAGGGGCGCACTTATTAAATACACGCACAGACACGATGCACCTGACTCCAAAGCCTATGTTCTTTCAAGCACCTCTCACCTCACTCTGCAGCCACACACCAAAATGGCTCAATTTCACCGAAATGGTGACAGTTTGAGTCAGAGCAATGCTGCTTTTTGAGAAAGGTGGAGGAAACAACATGTTAGTTGGATGTGGCAGCAGTTGGAATTTTGGGGGTTCAATCAGTGTTTTCCGAATAACCATGTCTCCGCTGCCTCAGCACCCACCTCTGATCACCTTGGTGGTCACTGAGTAAAAATTGGACATTTGTCAAAGTACTGACAATGCTAGCACATACCTGGGGGGATAAAGGAGGCAGAAGTCAATACAATATATCCAGTCTAACGACCTGTGGGAGATGAGAGGAGAAGTCCGTGTGAATTACGCTGGTGATTCTGTCCAGAAGGAGAACAGGAGGCGAACAGAAGATCACGGAGGTACCCTAACTTGAGCTGGGCTTTGTGGTGATTTCGCTTATGAAAGAGAAACTAGAAAATTTGTGCTTGAGTAATGTTTCCCGTAAATGACCGGGTTTTTTCGTAATCATTTGATCTGACTTAGAGTTGGCTTAGGAACTAAGTAGGGTGGCTGCAATAAGGGAAGATGGAGTGTTTTCCTGTCTGCCCAAATACAATGTATTCTTTTCATTTGGGTAGCTGCATTGAATCAGGATGCCAAGGAAAGCCCCCTAGTTTCTTATAAGTTGGGGGGAAACAAAGGTAACAATGGAATGGGGTCTATCCTCAGTCAGGTTCCTGAACTGCGAGAGAGGAGTCACCAGGGTCCTGCGGACGTCAAAGGTGTGTGTTGGCCACAGCTGCTCTGCCTGAAATAAGAAAGCGAAAGCTCTCGGAGCCCGGAGAGGCCCTTTCCCCCTGTCCGGAAGCTGCTGCTTCGCAGAGTGGGAAGCCCTAGACCTCAGTCCACCCAAACCACTGCAAGCGCGGGGCAGTGAAAAGTGCAGGGCGGTGAAGAGGCAGAAGCATCCGGCCCCGTCCAGGGCACCCCGTCCACGGCACGAGGCCCATGGATAAGTTTCAGGCCGTGCTAAACCTGCACCTGCAGCATCCCCGCGTGCTGGGCTACGGCCTGGTGACGCTCCTGACGGCGGGCGGGGAGCGCCTGTTCTCCGTCGCGGTGTTCCAGTGCCCCTGCAGCGCCGCCTGGAACCTGCCGTACGGCCTGGTCTTCCTGCTGGTGCCCGCGCTGGCGCTCTTCCTGCTGGGCTACGTGCTGAGCGCGCGCACCTGGCGCCTGCTGACCGGCTGCTGCGCGCGCGGCGCCCGCCCCGGGGGCTGCGGGCCGCGGCTGCG